TATCTAAGAAGGATTCCTGTCAACAATGTGACAGTAGTTTCCTTGTTCTGTGATGTTTTTTTGAACTTCTAAGCTTAGCCTATAGTTCTGTGGTTTCCTGTGGGTTTCCCATCCAATTATTCACATGTTCCAATATTATCTTTTTTTAAAAGATTAAGCCCTTTTGATTAAATAAAAAACTCTCCCTTTTTACGATCCTGTAGTCCTTATTTGGGGTAGAGTCTGGGCGACTGGATGGAGCTGAGCATTTACTGGCTGGATGCCCTTCCTGACGCCTATGTGGAATTTGCAGCAGATGTGTTTTCTTTGCACCCTACAAGAGAAACATCTCTCCTACCTAGGATTGAACCCTCAACCTTCCAAGCGGGAGGCGAGCGTCTTCACCACTAGGCTACCATGCCGTTCCCTTTTTGACTAAATGCTCTGGTTGAAATTAAGCAAGCTCTATCCCTTGCAGAAATGGCTTGAGTTCTTTTTGGTGAAATGCAAATTAATAAAATCATTTGGAAATGTTTTAGCTACTGACAAGAAATAAGCTTATTAAGGAAGTTTCTTGTGATAGAGTCCAGTTAAGCAGATTTTGGAGCCCTTTCTTGAATAGCAAATACAATTTATGAGTTCAAAGTGTTACTTCTCATTTGTGGGAGGAGGATATATGTGGTTTATTGGATGGGTAGGTTAGGTTGCAAGGAACCATAACCCACACTGAAACCTTCTTTACTAATAGTAGTCCTGCACATGTTAATTGAACTTTTGAGATTCCAGGCACAGATGTGTTCTGAGCAAGAACAAAGAGGGCAATGTCTTCCTCACAGCCTTCCCAGAAGTGGACTGGCCTTTTTAAGTAGCACTTTTGCTAAAAGCAGATGCCCTCTTCTAAAGTTTGGACGGAGATTGTTTTAAAAATATCTCCGTCTTATCTGATTAGGTGCCATTAAGTCATTTTCGACTCCTAGCAACCACATAGATTTTCTTTATGACAGTCTATCCTAGCTTTTCGGATGATGCAGTTATCCCTGCTGTAACTAAGCTTACCCACTTAGCTTGTCTTCTTCTCTTTCTTCCCACCTTTCCATCTTTAGAGCCTTCTCCAGAGAGCTAGATCTTGAAATAATCAAGTCTTCATATCCTGCTTCGTCAAAGACCAACCTTCACTTCCATAGACTGTCAGAAGGAATGTTGTTGCTTACACAGTTCTGATCTTTGTAGGTAGAGACACATCACAGCATTTGAATATATTTTCCAAGGCATTTATGACAGTTCTACTAAGTGCTAGTCTGCAGTGTATTTTTGACTGTTTATTTCTTTACTATTAATGGTTGATCAACAATAGACGCCATCTACCACTCCAATTATTTTCATTGGTCAGTTCTAAGGCTGGTTGTTCTACTTACTGTCATTAGTTTGGTCTTTACCTTTAGTTTTACTCCCATTTTTTTAAAATGTATTCCTTGGTTTTTATTACTAGAGCTTGCATATCTTTTTTATTCAGCTGTCGTGGTAGGATCAGCACAATGTTTGTGTGTGTTTATAATCTGTTGCAAAGGCTTTAAAGAGAGTTGATGAACTTTAGCACAATTTTGCATGCCTTCTCCTGCAAAGGAAGCTGAATTGAACCCTTCCTCCTTGTACTAGAAACAGAATTAGAAATGCTGTATGTCTCTTAGTACCACTAAGAACAGAATGTTATTGTAGTGACAAATGTTGTTATTCTCCTTAGAGCTAATGGTGGGGAACCTTTGCCACTTCACTTGCCAGCCCACTTATAAAGACTCTTCCAAATCTTCTTCTCGCCCTTACCACCATTTCATTAAGAAATAGGAAAACCTTCTTATAATCCAAAAACAGTATAACTAGACTGTGTATCCTTAGCCATTTTTAAATTTTATTTCTTTCCCAGGGACTTTTAAAACTAAGGTTGGGCTCTGTGTTTCAAAGGATCCATGCAATAAATTTGGTACATGACTCCATGCTCTGGTAATTGTCATTTAGTACATCTGGAAGGTACAGGAAATTGCAAATGAGCTGTGTGGCAATACAGCATTTGAATATTGAATTTCTAAATCACCATGAAGTTTCAGATGCACATGTGCATAGCCACTAGCCTAATACTTTTGAAGTAAGCGACCATATGCAAAACACGGAAAAGGAATTAGAAGTAACAATTAGAATAAATCAAATACAGAATGATTAGATTTTTTTTAATAGCTAAATCTGTTTACACCATCATTTACTCTACCTCCCCATACTTTCTATTCTTATAACTCATCCTTACTTTCACTATGTTCACGCTCTGCTTCTTAACTTGCCATTAAAATTGTGCTTTTTTACATTATAGGCAAAATAAAAAAAAAATGTGCTTATGAAATCAGTGAATTAATCCAGCAAAAACAGTTTTAAGTGTTGCCAATTTATAGCAATCTTAAGGTCCATAGCTGTAGTTTGATATGCCCTCTTTTATGAGGTTGTTGTAGAAGGGAAATGGGAATCAAGTCGTCTATAGATTTTAACAAATAGATTCCTAGCAAATATGGTACTCATTGTGAGGCTGGAAGATTCAAACAGATAAGTGCAGTGGTGGGATTCAGCCAATTCGCACCACTTCAGGAGAACCGGTTGTTAACTTTCTGAACAGTTCGGCAGACTGGTTATTAGAAGAAATAATTAGGGCAGAGAACCGGTTGTTAAATTATTTGAATCCCACTACTGGATTAGTGTGTCTCTGAAATGCTATCCATCTGGAATCTGGTAGGTAAAGCCCTCTAAGAAAGGTCATTTGAGCCTGAACATGTTATCAAAGTTGTTTTTTTTTTATAAAATGAAAAGAAAAAAAAGCCATATGACTTTTTATCCTTTCCTATGGTCAATTGTAAGCACAAAACTTTAGGTTCTCCAAAATGAAGTTCTGAATTAAATCTGAGTCAGGTAGTTTTCACAGAAAATTAAAAGTATCCTGTCCAATCATGCCCAACGCTAGGGGTGGTGCTCATCTCTGTTTCTTAGCCAAGGGAGCCAGCACTGTCTGAAGAAACCTCTGTGGTCATGTGACCAGCATATGCTGAGGTGCACAGAACAGTGTTATCTTCCCAGTGGTACCTATTTATCTATTCACGTTTGAATGCTTTTGAGCTACAGTTGGGGAATATCTGTATTAGAAAATGCTCCATATTTTTTTCCCCTGAAAACTCAAAAGAATGATTGCTCATACTAAAACGATTTGTAGGTGAACTCCCAGAGAGTGTGCTGTGCTATCTATAATATGGAGAGGGGGGGGACTTTTTAAAAAAGTCTTCCTTTGCCTCTAAGGCTTTGGGAGCATAAATTGTAAGAGAACAATATAAACAGCAGTTCCCTTGGAATGTGCAGGCAATCAATACGTATCATGCTCACAAAAGCAGTTGTCAGATTGAATTTTTGAACATCTTATTCAAAATGTGATGAGTTTATAATATATGTCATATTCAGATATTTCTCCATCTAAATTGATTAGAAAGTAGGAGTAGTCCTTGGGTGGTTAATGAAGAAGAGGAGAAAAACCCATGGATCTGTAACTAACTACTCATAATGAAACAAGTTATCTTAACCCTGGAGGAAGGCACATAATTTGGAAGTCGGAAAGGGTTATTGAACCATGAACTCTCTACACAGTGCAAAAAAATATGGTGCAGTGTAGTTGGCTTTTGCCCTGTTTCTGCTTTACAACAGAATGACTTACTGCAAATAAACAGTGGTATCATAAAATACCTTATCTTCCACTTGCTGGAGTTCTCCAAAGAAGCAATTATACCTATCGTAAGAATTTCCATAGCAATGCAGAACAACGAGAGACCAACACAGCCAAGATTGGAAAGTACTCAAAAGTTGTATTTAGTCTTGGATGGTTTCTATCCCCATTTCTGGAGATCCCCAGTTTATGGACTGTGCTCTAGAGAAAGGAATAGTTTATTCATTTGTTTTTTTTTTTAATTTAAAAATATCTCTACCTGTTGTGCAGTGTACCTGCAGGCAGTGTACAAAATTTTAGTAAATAATTTAAATGTAATAAAATATGTGGTAATGTAAAACATAAAGGACATAAAATCCTTTATTATCAGATGTAGTTCAACAATATTATAGTATTTTAAATCCAAAAATAATTATTAGTAGCCAAATTCATACAAAACAAGTGTGCCTTGCATTATACATGTATAAAGAAAAAACATCACTCCATAGAATATAATATATTGTTCCATCTGGGATTTATTGCAATAGTGATGAAGAAGGGGTAGTCTTTCAAAGCCTGTCAAAGTAATCAAAGAAGGAGATTAAATTCTACCCGGTCTTTGTTTTGGATGGTGGTGCTGGTGATTGTATCATTTATTGGAGCATAGTTTCTACTCCTTGTTCTCAATAGCTCAAATTATCAGAGTGGGCTGCAAAAAATGCAGACTTAAGGACAGCAAAGAGATTTTTTTAAAAAAAAACAACAACACTACTTCAGTTCTTTTTTCAGATGATCTGTCAAGTGATCATCTAGAAGCTTTCAACCCAGGCCTGATACTCCTACAGTATCTCCCCATTTTGTTTTTTCTTGTTTCTGCTCATATTCTTCTCAATTTCCAGATGAAATTGAGAAAGATAGATATGAAAGAATAGATACTGTGTACTATTAAAATAAAAATTATTGGGAGAATGAAGCATGAAAGGACTGAAGATACTTGTGGAAGATTTATATGTCTACATACCAACTGTTAGAACATTCTAATTAATAATATCCTTCTTGCAGATCTGTTTGAAGGAAAAATTAAGCTAAATTAAAGCTCCAGGGGATAGAGAGTTGATTACGGAATTGGAGAATAATGAGAAGCCTATAGTTAGTTATTTCTACGCATTTAATAACAAGTTTACTTTGGCTTCCAGTCCCAAATGGCAGCCCTTGTAAAAATAGTACTGCTAATATAGCTTTCAATCCAATTTTGAACAGATGGAATAACTAAACCTTTTGTCATCTTCTCCTTCAGAGGTCAGGAGTTTTTAGTGGACCTGAATGCCCTGACGTTTTATGATACAACTGAGTTTGACCAGTTGAGGAGACTCTCTACACCTGTCTGCACAAGTACTGACTCCAACTATTATACAGTCTGGAAATATTTCTGCAGGGATCATTTTGGCTGGAGAGAATATTCCGAGGTAATTTTCCCATCATTGGGGTAACATACTGGGTTTGGTTGTGTTAGTCTGCTTTGAAATTACCACTTAGTCAGGAAGCTGGGTTTCTGCAACATGTTTAATCAGGTCAGTTAAAGACCTAATGTTTGTACTACATGCTAGACTTAGTTAGTCTTATAACATGAATTCTTTTTGTGGCTTAATGAATTGTGCAAACTCAGCTCCTTGGTTGGTCTTAAGAGCTTTGAATGCTTGAAGGTGCTGTCAAGAGAACAGTAATTTTCTTAATACAAAAATAAGGGATATGCTCAAAGGATTTTACATATTATATTCATTTATTCTTCTACTTCCTTGTATGAAGAAAGTGAAACTTTTCAGCCAAACGTTGAGCAGGCTGTTTCAAATTTACAAGGATACATAACATGTGACAGTTCATTTGTTATGGAAATGTAATTCTCAGCATCCAGAGAAAATAGGGTCTATTGTGAGAGATCCTTAAGAATTATAATTCAGTTTCGAGGGAACACAAGTTGATCTCCCTAGTTTTAGTAATTTTAGATACTGAATTTGTTGTTGTGGTTTTGGGTTGCTTTGATTGTTGGTTAGAGTGCGACTGTCCTACCTATGAACAGGTCATAATGTATGATTACATTTTTATTAAAATTATTAAGAAAGCTTGGCTGTGTTTGAAAGGAGAAGGAAGTATTGCTTACTCTGATGAGTAATTCAACAAAATAAAAAGAAATTGAACATGAAATGGATTTAAGTGAATTATTTATTTATTTTTATTTCAAACAGCCTGTAGTACGATTAATAGAAGAAGCCAACTACCGAGGGTTGGCAGAGGTCCGATTTGTTACATGGCACAATCGTTATATCTTGAACATTAAAGATGGCTTCCAGCAAAACGCATGTGTTCGAAGAGAAATCAAGAAGAGGCCTCTCTTCCGCTCCTGTGTGATTCTCATGCCATTTTTGCAGTAAGTATTGCAACCTTTCATGTATCTCTTGGTGTCCTCGGTAATAATGATGGGGTGGTGGCACAGGTATATAATATACAATATAGTCTAGTGAAGAGAAGGAACAGGGGAGACATGATAGCAGTTTTCCAATATTTGAGGGGCTGCCACAGAGAGGAGTGGGTCAAACTATTTTCCAAGGCACCAAAGGCCAGACAAAGAATAATGGATGGAAATTGATCAAGGAGAGATTCAACCTAGAAATAAGGAGAAATTTTCTGACAGTGAGAGCAATCAACCAATGGAACAGCTTGCCTTTGGAAGTTGTGGGAGCTTCATCACTGGAGGCTTTCAGGAAGAAATTGGACTGCCATTTGTCAGAAATGGTATAGGGTCTCCTGCTTGGGTGGGGGGTTGGAGTAGATGACCTACAAAGTCCCTTCCAACTCTGGTAATCTGTAATCTGTAAGTTGATTATGTAGCTTTAATTGGGTTTTTTTCTCTTAGTCATAGTGTTAGCCAACTCTTTGTGTTTGCAAAACATCGTATTCTTCCCTCCTGGTGCTTGCATACCACTAAAAGCTGTTGCCAACAACCAAGACTGCACAAATAAACAATCTATTTGTCCATCATGCACATACAAACACATACTCAACATAATAGAAACAGACAGTGGCTTTGTTAGATGTTCTTCTGATACCACAGGTAGTCCTCGTTCAAGGTTTACTCATTCAGTGAGTGTTCAAAGTTACGATGGCACTGAATGAACAGTCCTTGCAGTTGTGGCCATTGCAGCATCTGTACAGTCATATGATTGCAACTTCACAATTACGACACCACAGCATCGCACAGTCCCATGAACTGCCATTTGCTATCTTCACTGCCAGCAAAGTTAATGGAAAAGCCAACAGGAGGTCACAGATGGTGATCACTTGAGTGCAGAACAGTGCAAACCATGCAGAATTCACCTAATGACAGCAACTGGGGCAGCTTGAACTGCTGGCATAAGTTGGCATGATCATGTGATGTTACACCTTATGACCACATTGCTTAGCAATGGAATTACTTGCCGTATCTGGAGTGTAAATGTGAACAACTCTGCCTGGCAGTCTGCTCAGATGTCTTCCTTTTAACTGCAGATACTAATTGCACTGGTTTCTGTTGTGGAAACACTGAACTGAATTGCGCTCCTGTTTTCTCCCCTCTTTTTTCTATTGGATTTCTATTAATCCTCTCTATTCAAATGATTCTGCTCCTTTGACTAACTACTAATCCGATGGGATTGTACAAGGTGCACAGCTTTCACTTATGCTAAAGGCAACAAAATAGTTTGAACATAACTTTTGTTTTAGTAAGGGTGGAATTGCACTAGCCTTACACAATTTGCTTTTGCTAAATTGATGAAAGTATGCAGCCACAAATGATTTTAAAAACTTGTAAAAATTTAATTTTAATAAGAAAAAACATTATTCGAGGAGCTCTTTTTCTGCAAGGAAGTTGCTTTCCATTTTCAAGTCATTTTCCAGTTCTCAGCTGTTTTTAAAGTTGATTCTGTTTTGTTGGGAACGAGGCAGGTTGGACTGCTGAACAATTCAGTGTAGAAGTGAGCAACGTATAAATATTTCTTTCTGGAAACACAACAATCCATATTTTGACAAAATTGCTTTGGCATACACTTGTTTTGGAATTGAATCTTAATTCTTTGGATGGCTTTGCTAGCCGGATCCAGTCAAATTTGCACTCAAGTTCCCTTTAAATTCCTTTGAAAAACTATATTTAGCATGAACTGCACTGACTTCGAAAGGACCAAAATGGAATTGACCTCATCTGGATCTAGCTCTTTCTGGGTGCATTATTTGCTTTCTAAGAGTTAATAGGCATTTGAAATTGCCGTAGTTCAGCACATATACTGTTTATAGCTCTCTATTGAGAGCATCGGATTTAAAATAAATGGAATAAAAATAGTTTCATTGTTGGTGTCTACCATTGATCATCCAACCAAAGAAAAAATGTGGTTATTTTTAAAGAGCAAATTGCTGATCTTTCAACAAGCATCAATTAGTTGTGATGGGCTTTTTTTTTTTTTTAATTACTGCAGCATTTGCTGGGAGAAAAACTCTGCCAAGGCCTCTACTTCCAGGAAATTCCTGACCTTTCTCTTGTCTAGGAGACAAGAGAGATTAGCCATTCTTTGTTTGACCTTAACCAATAGGGAAGAGCTACTAGAGAATGTGGATTTGAGCAAAAGTGACCAGTGAATGCTGAAATTCTGTTTAGGATGGGACACTAAGCAGAATGCAATTAAAGGTGCAAATTTTAATATACACGGATCAGAACAAGGATTAATAGGATTATATGATAGCAAAAGGAATGGAAAAAGGGAATTCAAGATGGGTAGGAATGGGAAATCCTAAAAATAACTAGAAACTCAATTGGGGATAATGATAGCAACTACAGTGGAAGAAAATGATGTAAAAGAAAATCTGAAAAACCAAACCTGTGTGTTTATGTGTATGCGATATAAAGGAGTTAGAAAGAAGAATAGGTCAGCAAAGACAACAATGTGCAAGTAACCCAAATTTGTAGAGATGGGGTCAAGATAACTAAAATTCAGATATAAGGTACCCTTAGGAAATGTTAAGAACAACTAAAAGTATTTCTTCAGATATCTTCTAAGTGTAAGAAATATGCATTCTACCAAACAGTTAGGAAAACCTAGTTGAAGGAACAGAATCTCTCTCAGCTTGAGCTCAACAGAAATATAAGTGAGAATATGTACTGATCTAAATGAGTCAATACTTTCTGGGTCAGAGATGTTTGCATTCTACAATACAGAAGTAATCTGATGATAGTCTGGCCAAAAATCTATAAAAGGAGCATCAACAGAGTTCAAAATAACACAAACCTGGGAAAGGAAAATATATTCCTGTCTTGTGAAATGAGAAAAGGAAGGATACAAAATACGGACTATCAATCAGTCTGACATTACTATATGGGAAGATTCTAGAATAGATCATGAAAGAGAGAGATCTGAAGGCACCTCCTTGAAAATTATGCAGGTTGTTAAGAATTCAGCATGGATTTCTTGGGAACAAATCTTATTTTCAGATTGGAGAACTTCCTTAGTTGAGGGAAAGCTATGGAGATAATACATCTAGACTTCAGCAAAACATCTGACAAAGTTACCATGACATGGTTTATAAGCATGGGATGGAGATTATATTTATTGATTGGGTTCATAGCAAACTTGAAAGCTATACTAAAGATAGGTCATCAGGGGTTCTTCATCAAACTGGTATGCCTTGTGGTTTAGTTCAAGACACAACAGTCTTTAAGTATTTTCATTAATAACCTCAATGAAGAGATAATGTTTATCAAAGTTCAGATAACAAAAAACTGAAGAGAATCAATAATGTATTAGAAGAATACAAAAGGTGAGAGGTTAGAGCAGTGTTTCTTTTTTTCTTTTAGCACCCCTTCCCACTTTTAAAAAAATTATGGAGGACCCCCAACAGTTTACAGACGTTACAGATGTCCTATTGAATCCTTTTCTTCCATTTCTCTCCCAATTTCTCCAGGACACTTAGTGGCAGCCTGGCAGTGCCAATGACAGAATCTATCCCATCACAAGTTTTATCCCCAAATGCTGTTACCTCTCCCAGTTTCTATCCAGAAACATGGATTAGCATGGACCCGGCTCAGGACTTTATCCAAGTGCCTGTTTCAAAGGAAGACAAAAGCTACAGAACCATTTATAATCTCTTTCATAAGACTGTGCCCGAGACCAAATATAAAATCTTGAAAATACTGCGAGTTCAGAACCAGTTTTTGTGGGAGAAGTACAAAAGGTGAGTCAAAATCAGATAAATAATCTCCTTTAACTTCATTATTTCACGGTTTTGGGAGAGATGGGACAATAATAGTGACATCTCTTGGAAAAGCTTTTTTTTTTTTTTTCTGCCAATGCCTTCAACAAGAGAGCCAGCATGTTCTAGTGGTTAAGGTACCAGGCTAGAAAGTGGAAGTCTGTGACTTCTAGCCCTGCCTTACTCATGAAATCTGCTGGGTGACATTAGATCGGTCACACACGGTCAGCCCAACTCAACCTGACCAGGGTTGTTGTTTGGGAGGAAACTAGGAGGAGGAAAGTTTGTTGGATATATTCACTGCCTTGAGTTATGTATAAAAATAACAAAGGAGGCATATAAATTAAACAAATCTTGCTTCTTAAAGGGGCCAGTTGCTGCACCGCCTTTTATACTATTGGCCTAGATGTCAGTGAAGAGCTTGTCCTTAGAAACACAAACAAGAACTTCAGCTACATTGGAGTGAGGAAAACTGCAGGCAAGCTGTCTGTTGGGAAATATCAGGAATGGTCGTCGTAGTGTACAAATTGTTCAGAAGGAGTGCAGCCTAGACAGAAAAAGTGCCTCCTGCTTTGCTGAAAGCCACCCTCTGAACTAAAACCTGCATTTCTTTTGCAACCGATGAAAGAGGCCTTTTGTTGAAGCACCAGCCTTGGTGATGAACAGCTGTTTTGTTTGGCCTGATTGAATTTGAATAGAGCTTCCTGGCTTCTCTCGTTTTGTTAAGTTGGCACTGTGTTTTAGCTTCTAACCCAAACTGAGAAGAGCAGAAATCCCAGTGGCAGATCCCACAAATAGAGCTACAAAATCAAATTTTATTTGCTTTTTTTCTGTCCCTGGAATATCACTTCTATATATTGTACTGCATGCTGATAGAAAAAGTACCATCTGGGATGGGGGTAAATTTCTAAGATAGCAATTTTTTAAAAAAGTATTGCTAATGTTACGGTCTAACCAAGTATTCTACTTACAAAGCTTTCCCTCTGAAATGGTACAGATTAGTAATTTATAATTGTGTTTTCTAAATCTTAGTTACATTTGACTGCAAGTAAGTTTTCTCAGGATTAAGGTTCCCCTTAAGAAGAGCAGAAAGGCAGGTGGTAGACCCAGGAGAGGATTTTGCAATGCTACTATTTCTGCATTTTATAATTAGTTTGTGTATTGCGTTTCCCCCGGTTTCATTTAAGCACAGTACAAACATGGCCTGGCATTGTTTTTGTTTCTGCCATGTCTCAATGATGTTGCCTCCATCTCATTCCTAGCCTACAAAGTAAGGCAGGTCTACAAGTAGTCCTCAGCTTATGACTGTAATTGAGCCTGGAATTACAGTCCTTGTGATCATAAGTCAAGGCACCCACATGACCAGAAATAATTTTCTGCCCTTTTTTGCAGGAATCATTAAGTAAATGTGGTGGATGTTAAGCAGTAGTAATCATTCTTGCTGCAAGACTATGATTGGTCTTGTTGGCAGTGTCATTCAGTAGAGAAAACTGGTGGAATCAACCAATTTCTTTGGTTGAATCAACCTGCTTCTTTGGTTTTTCACACTCTGGGTGTGCAAGGATCAGGCAGTACCATTTGGCAACGAGTCAAAACAGACACAAAAGAAGCAGGATAAGCACTGGCAATGGGGGCAGTTGTTAAGGACAGCTCAAGAGCACCAGATAAGCAGTAGAGAAAGCAAGCCATCCAATATGCCAGATATGAATCATGGACAGCTTTGAGGCTTATTTCGGGCAAAGACATACCACTCAAACTCCAGGGTCTACAAAATGCCTTGCTCTTTTTAAAGTTCCATTAGGCAGACTTTTAACTTTTAGGAATTTGAAAAGATATACCCATATCTGTGTCTATATTTCATTTCCAGGAAAAAAGAATACATGTCTAAAAAAATGACCGGCTTAGACAAGATTATGAATGAAAGACACTTGTTCCATGGGACCTCCCAAGACGTGGTAGATGGTATCTGCAAGCACAACTTCGACCCTCGGGTATGTGGGAAACACGCCACCATGTTCGGGCAAGGGAGCTACTTTGCTCGGAAAGCCAGCTACTCCCATAATTTCTCCAAGCGGTCACCCAAAGGGATCCACTACATGTTTTTGGCAAAAGTACTGACCGGAAAGTACACAGTAGGGAACCACACCATGAGAAGACCTCCACCTGTGAACCCTGCCAGCATCACCAGTGATCTGTATGATTCCTGTGTGGACAACTACTTTGAACCACAGATTTTTGTCATTTTTAACGATGACCAGAGTTACCCTTATTTTGTTATCCAGTATGAAGAAGTTAGTAATACTGTTACCATCTGAGAGACAGAGAAAGAAATAATTTCCATTGATAAATTATTGTTGTTAATGGACTTTAATCTGCTCTTTGTAGAATGAACCCCTTTTTTGGGGAAGAAGAAATCAAGTTTGGGGAAGTTTTAATAAAGGTATTGAGGAACAGGGAGTGGAAAAAAATAACCTTTTTAACAAAACAAAACAAAAAAAAAAAAAAGAAAGAAAAAGAATCCTGAAAAGACCAATTGTGCAAATTGTAAATATTTTCCATTGTTTATAGCTAAGAAGAAAAAAAGACTGTGCCTTTTGTTATAAACACTATTTATGTTAGTAAATTTAATGTTTTAAAAACTTAATAGTGTGACCCAGTGATATCTTGAAAACTTGTAATTTGTCTGCCTTGAGTTCTTGCTGTTCCTACCTGGCTTCTTTCTTGGGCTTTTGGAGGTACTTGACCCCTTACTTCACCGTTGAATTGTATCTGGAGGACAGGTGTGGCTACATCACAACTCTGCACCTGTACAGGTATCTCCTGGCAACATGCCCAAGTGCAATATATTATCTGCTTCAGTAAAAGGAACAAGGTTGAGGATTCAGTTTCTGCTACAGAAAACACAGTGATAGCAGGAAGGGAAAGCCAACTGCTTCCATAGAAATACTTCATTTTCTCATGGCTACTTTTCCTCTTAAGCGTTCAGCAATTGCGGTTTTCATGAATGAGAAGAGATGGCTAAGAGATAAAGACAACAAAATGACATGCTTGGGGAGATGATGAAATTGATTTATATTTAGAAAGGGTTTATTTTCCTGCCTTTTTTAAAAAAAAAAATCCTTTAGGGCCGTGGAGATTTTTGAATGGGGACACCTGTGAGATGCAAACCTAACAAGTTCATTGGATAGCACCTTGACAATGAGTCCATTGTGGAAACATGCAAGTAAGGCATTGTGCATGCCTTACTTGCATGTAACATCCATGTCTTTCTCATAATTTCACCAGTTTCTAATGGCCCTAATTAAGAAGCAAGCAATATATATAGATCCCATATGGCTTAAGCTCCAAATTTAGCCAGGTCAGTTTGTTTTTTCATTCAGAAGCTGATGCCCTTGTGTGTTTTAACTTTAAAAAACAACATTTTGTTCCTATTTCCTTTTTCCCCCAATATTTTGTCAAGCTACTCTTCCTGTGCTATCTAGAATGTTATCTGGCTTTTCACAATGAAAGAAGATACCGGTAGCTGCACTGAGGATGCCAGTGTCCCTTGCCTACTTGGCTAATGCATTTCCAGCTGTGTCCTAAATTATCTGGTTTCAACTGTTATGTTTCATCAATTAATGCTGCTGCTTTGGCATGCAGATGATAAAATACAGGGTTTGCCCAGATGCATTGAACAGGGGGTTTGAAAAGAAAGGCCTACCTTCCAGAAAGAAGGTATTGATTATATTTTAGATAATTTGGTACAAAAGGCTAAAACTTATCCTTTCAAAACAAAATTCCATTCTTGGAACTCAAGGTAGGCCCTTGGCCTTTGATCTTTAAATGAAGAAAGGAAAACTGCAAGGGGCCAGATATTTCTACTTTTAAAGAATGTCTCTAGTCTTACACAGGACCAATTATTTATAGTCAGAAATAGCCCACTGAACAATAAATAAGTGCAGGTTGCAGGCCAGTGCTGTTGAAGTTGTCTCATATCAAAGTTGCTTATTTCTATTCACTTGTGCTCTTCAACTCATTGTGAACATTATGGTATTCACAGTTGTCAGGGAAACAATGCATAAATATCACTTTTTTAAAAAATTATTCCTTTCTATTTTCTGCCTTGCTAATTTCGGTAGGGAATTCTTTGTCTTATATAGCTATAGATATATTTTTTTATCTTTTTCCAAAAGAAAAATAATATATGAGATTGCTTTTAAAATGAAGGGCAAGCCAGCTGCCAGTCATATGTAAACATAGCATAGTCTTCACTTCTGCTCCACTATAATCACTGAAGCAGGCTAAAATAATGCTAACATTGGCCAGGTGTTTTCCATTTGTTCAGAAGTGAGAATTAATGCTTTCCCCACCCAGTCAGTTTTGCAGTGCACAGTATTATGGCTGTGATCCTACAACATATTTAACCATGGTTCATTTTATCATGCTTACAAATGATGATTGGGTTCACTCAACCCTCTTAACTCACAAACAAGCACACTATAGTACGAGAATTAATTTTGATTGTTGAAAGGCCATCGTCGTCTTACATGCTTTACATTTACATTGTCCAAAATGGCTTATTTCAGGGGTGAAATATAAAATTAATTACTACCAGTTCTGTGGGCGTGGCTTGGTGAGGGGGTTGTAATGTGATTGGGTGGGTGTGGCCAACTTTTTTTTTTTTTTAATTTTTCAAAGCATTTTTTCTAATGCTTTGAAAAGCCTCTGCCGATCAGGCAACTCAGCTGGGATTGTCAGAGACTTTTCAAAGCATTTTTTTTACCACCTGTTCGGCCAAGAGGTTACAGAAAAAAATGTTTTGAAAATCCTCTGACGATCCCAGCTGAGCCGCGCGATCATCGGAGGCTTTTTTTTTTACTTTTAAAAGCATTTTTTTATCAGAAGAGGTTGTAGAAAAAATGCTTTTAAAAGTAAAAAAAAGAAAAAGCCTCTGATGATCGTGCAGCTCAGCTGGGCATCATGGTGGGGAGGGGCGCAGGGATTTTTGCTACCGGTTCTCCGAACCACCCGCCACCATTGCTACCAGATCGGGCGATCTGGTCTGAACCGGGAGCGTTTCACCCCTGGCTTATTTGCTATTTACTTGAATACAGATAGTCCTCAACTTTACAAGAGTCCATTTAGTGACCATTCGAAGTTACAGTGGCACTGAAAAAAGTGACTTCTGACAATTTTTCACACTTACAACCATTGTAACATCTTCAGGGTCCTGTGATCAAAATTCAAATGCTTGACAACTGACTCATATTTATGACAGTTCCAGTGTCCTGAGGTCATGTGAACGTTTTTTAAACTTTTAGATAAGCAAAGTCAATGGGGAAGCAAATTCACTTAACCATGTTACTAACTTAACAACTGCAGAGATTCACTTAACAATTGTGGCAAATAAGGACGTAAAATGAGGGAAAATTAAGTGAGACATTAACAAACGACAAAAATTTTGGACTTCATTGTGGTCGTAAGTTGAGGACTACCTGTACTACAGCCCTATCTCCACCTATCTGAAAATCTCTGGGTAGGTTACATTACATAAAATATGCATTATACTTCTGTCGCTGATATACACTTTTATTACAACTCGCATTCTTAATGAAAACCTGAAGAAATTGAGAGGGGAAAAGGAAATTGTAGTATTTCAGCTGTCCCCACTGCATGCCTGCATACTTTTCACTGAAAAACTAAGCTGTTTCAAGAGTTCAGGAAATAATAATAAAGAATGGGGGCCCTAGTTTAATTATATTGTCTCCAGTCATTGAATTGAGATTAGCTTGGATCAGAGGAGACTTCAGTGGCATACAGATTTCTGGAATGAGGATTCCCCCCAGGCTGCCTTCCCAGTGATGGCAACACCCAGGTTGGCATTGGGACATACAACAGAAGGCTCCTTCATCCTTAGGCATCTATATTATTCTCTGGCTTGGCTTCTTAGAACCAAGCAGCTTAAAATAGTACTGCTCTTGGATTCTGATCACTTCAGGCTGCTGCTGAAGGATCACATGCTTAAATGTTTTCTCATTCAAACTGCTCTCTGGAGGGTTTTATTTTTTTTAATCAGCATTTCAGGGAAGAAAACACAAGTTTGGGCAATATATTTTTTATATATTGAGGATCATATGGAATTGAACACTAGCAAGGGCTGTGCCATGTTATGCTTTCTGCAACTCATGGAGATGAATTCTTAAGAGTCAAGTGAAATGTATACACCATAACCTCTAGTAAGACTTCCATCATCTGTCTGGTCTCGACAAAAAAGGGTATAGGGGTCTAATCAATCAGTGGCATATTTATTAAACACAGAAATGGCAGTCAAAATTCAAAAGGATAGATTCACAGGCATACAAACTGCCAGAGGTTGAAACGTATGACCAGGTCCTTGTGCAAATGTCGTGACTCGTGGATCTGCATCATATGTTGGGATGAGAGCACATGTGAGTACATAATGGCAGCACTGCATCAGGCTCAGTGGTTAGAATGCAGTATTGCAGGCAAATCTGCCCACAGCCTGGAATTCAATCATGAAGGTGCTCAAGGTTGACTCAGCCTTCCATCTTTCTGAGGTCAGTAAAATGAGAACCCAAATTGTTGGGGGCAATATGTTGACGTTGTAAACTGTCCAGCGAGTGTTGTAAAGCACTATGGGGCAGTATATAAATCTAAGTGCTGTTGCTATGATACCATCTCAGTTTGCTGTTGGATGGACCTAGACTGCATTATTCATGTATACAAACATGTTGAGAAGGGAGTACATAATGGCAGCATGGCTAGACTGCAGCAATGAAGTCTTGAGTGCACTCTTAAATGCTCATGTAAGACTACTACTTTGTTGTCCTGGCTCCAAAGAGCTGGTTAAGGGGCTTGGTATACCCTACAGAGTCCCCTCACCCACCCACCATGGCACAGGACTGAGTTAGTTGTAGTACTATATTCCAGATGCTTTAATACAGGAGTGTCAAACTCATGTCATCATGGCAGCGTCCCAAATTTTTTCCCCTTCGCTAAACCGGGAATGGGCATGGCCAGTGCGTGATGCATCTAGGCTGCAGGCCACGAGTTTCACAGCCCTTCTCTAATAGGATAAGTATAGTTCAGGTGACTTTCTTAAGGCAATGTCATTTGATGGGACCCAGACTTCTCACTTAGACCATGACTTCCCTATTTGTGTGAATTGGGCAGTAATGTAAATTTCAGATAAAATAGAATAAAACCGCCTCCTTTCCCACATGCCAGGGATAAGCAGTGTAATAGTACCCTTCACTTGTTCTCAATTTTAACCTCCATCTAATGCAACCAACATGGCCAGCCAGAAGGAATTATGGCAGCTCTTATCTGAAACATTTGGAGGGTTTCAAGTTACCTTGCCAAAAGCAATCACCGTTTAGAATTATTGCCACTTTTGTTGTTGTTAATGGGCTTTTTATCTAAGGATAGTATTTGTTCCTGAATATTGGGGACATTTGTTTGTAATGATTTTTTTTTCCTGAGAAAACCACAGATGCGTATACAGCAGCATTTATCACAGAACACCTGGCTTCTATTTTATTGCTTTTCTTTTCAGTTCACTACCCTGTGCTTTGCTTTGCCCAAGTGATAGGCCTCCATTTCCTTTGTACAGAAAACAGATTGTGTGATAGATGGATGAAC